CGTTATGCTTGAATTATAGCATCACTATCGTTCATTATTTTAAGCAATTTTTTTAGTTGAAATAAATAGTATTTCCCATGCTTGATCGAGCAGCCCTTGATTGAGTCTTGTATCTTGTGCGAATATATAACGTGGCTTGTTTATCTTTTTTTAATACGCTGTCGTTATAAACATTATTAATATATTAAAGTATACATAAATATTATTGTGCTTTAGATTAATACTTAGTTTTTCATCACGACCTAATCGTGCAGTATATTATCACCGTGAACTGTAGTCCTTATCACAGTAACAACAGGAAGCGATTGACAGTCTCGTCCTGCTGACGGTCGCCTAACACCACCTTTATTCCACCAGTATACAGTCAGTCGCTACTTGCATATAAATGCGAGTGTTTACATAAGGATTCATTGGCATCGAACTTTTCCATGTACACGCGATATAAGAACGTGCGACGTTCGTTTATTACTGCGTATGTAGCGTCATTCTTTAGCTCGTTCTATTGTTCTCGCTCCTCATTAGAGAACTGCATGACGCTACTGCAGTGATCGGCTCATTCGACGAGCACATCTAGTAAAAGTTTCGAGGAGTGTGAATTACAAACTAATTGTCTTTTATTAATTCTCCTTGAGTTCTGATAAAAAAATACATCGTTCGGATGCATACAATCATCAGAATTTCAAATGACATTCTCCCTACAACGTCTAAAAATTACTAAGACAGCGCAAATTTTCTCACCAGATGTCCCGCAGACTCGCACTTCTCCAACGGTCATGATTTCGAAATTCAGGTTTTTTGGTCCTCAATGTTTTCCATCAAAATTTCTCTTGTACAAAAATGGACAACCGATCATTTTTTAACAACTATACTCTTATATTTCTATATTTTTTATATTTTAACGACAAAAATACGAAAGAATGTGTTTTTTGTTGAGAGTGAAAATTTTTTAAAAATTTAAACGACAGCTCAATCGTTAGGCGCTATTTAGTGAGAACATTTTTATTTGTTTTTTAGTTGCTGTCAAAATAAATTAGGGGAGAGTTTCGAGTTTGTGCTAAGCCTCTCTGTAAACAAGAAGCTGCTTGCCTGCTTTCGGCCTCAGCGTGACTGCTTTTGACAGTCAATGCTGGAACTCGTGACCTTTTACGGGATACATGCCACTTTGTCGCCAGATGTTTAGAAAAATTGCATCAAAAAATATAAAATTTCTCTTGGATATACTTTACAAAAGCTCATTTTCAAGTTTTTTTTATTATTAACGTATATAGATGCATATAGTTCCTCCTAAATATACCTAGCAAAAATTATTCAAAAGATCTTTTATACTCATTCCTTGATTTTGAAATTCTCATGATGATTAAAAAATCTTCGATTCCTCTCGGATTTCCGCTCGTGTATATTAAATAGACAACGTTCTCGTATTTGAAGTGAGAGTTGAGTGCCACCTCTGTATCCTAGCTGAGCAGCTTTCGCCCAAATGACGTTCAATTTTATACCTACAGCGCTTATAACTGCTCATCCTCTGTGCTGGCGCGTGAACCTCTTATTATAGCGTTGATATTGTAGAAGTCTAGGGACGTATCTATGTATAAACAGGGTGAGAGTCACGCAACAAAGCTGCTTCAATGAGGATCCTAGTGACTGAATTCATGGTTGCGGAAGCAGTATTTAATTGTGTCTGGTGACTATCAACCTAAATCTCTACTTTGAGATTTACGACCTACAAGTCAGACACTTGGAATGTAAAAGTAATGTAGAACTTTCAAAAAATGAGTGGTTTTTGATAGTCCAGTCCAGAAGCTCAATTCTCTGAACTTATTTCACATTATTTTTTAAACTTTACATTTGATACTGAAATCTAGTTTCTTTTGTAGGATTTTTTCATTGCTTTAGATTTTTCTCTCGTTGTTTGCCTGGGTAATTTTTATGGAAAATGGCTTAGCTATGTTTTGTGCAGTTTTCATAATTATTTCACAATCAAATAATGCATGACGTATATGTGTTAGTCGTAATTTTGGTATTGAGTATTGAACGGAAACTTCACATTGAAGTATGCCTCACCGTTCTCAGTGGCAATGTGGTTCAAAAAGTGTCTTATTTGCTTGGTAGGATCACACCTGTTACACCTCATTTCATCAATGGGTTGTTTTATAGTGATGGTGTGACCGTCTGACTGCTCGATGGTGCGACCGCCTGAGTTGCGCTCGCTCAATGGTATTGCAATCTCTCCACTTTTTGTTGGTTTAAAGGAATGAGCCGCCATTTTAGTTCACTTGAGATGATATGAGGTATCCGAGTGTATTTTTATATACTCGCATGGTATATTTTCATCTGATGTGTGTTTTTTAACGTTGCTTAAGAATTAAAGGAATGAGCTGCCATTTTAGTTCTCCTGAGATGATATGAGGTATCTGAGTGTATTTTTATATACTCGCATGGTATATTTTCATCTGATGTGTGTTTTTTAACGTTGCTTAAGAAACAAGTCCCTGTCTTGTTTCGGTTCTGTGGATAGTTTACTCATCAAGACGACTCAGGATCCAGAACCCGTGCTGTGCGACCAGTTCAAACATGCACTGTGTTTCTCGTCAAATTCCATGTATTCACTCATTCAACCACTATATAGTTGCAGCAATCTGCATGCGGCGTGCGAATGCAACTGTTCGTACGCGCTCGTACGAAAGACACTTTGAATCGCGAGTATTTAGAGTTCGTCTGTGGGCCTCAGCATTTCCGACCGGCATATATTATCAGCCCCTGCGCTCCTTCATTATTATAACAATGCACCCATAAGCCGCTCATTGCCTCTATTTTGATCACATAGAATTTACGCGTCGTTCGGTCATGGGAACCTCGAACGTCTTTTTGCGGTTGTGTGTGCAGTGCTCAGGATTTTTTGTCGATTGTGGCCTCTGGCTTGTCGGAACCTATTGGCGATGCGTGACCTCTTGTCACTTGACTTGATTTTGCCGGCGGTTCTCCCTCGGTTGTCACATGGTTACTTTCAGGCAGCTCGTTGCCTTCTGATTATTGTTTCAAATTTAAAATTTGCACGCAGTTATCTTGAAATAAAATACAGTCCATCTCGCTTGCATTATATTGAAAAGCCTGGCGTGTTTGCTCCGTCAAACACCAAGTAACAGGAGATTTCTACTGTCGTTTTAAAGATTCTTATGCAGCGACGCGTTTAAAAAAATGTTATTTTGTATCACAGTCTTTCTGTTACGGTTGCAGACATCATTTCAGAAGTTTTATGGAGCACGACTTCAATCCGAGTCTGAATTATAAAGCTACAGGGAAAAACGTTTCCGTATTTATATTTTTTCTGGAAGCGAGTTCTGATCTCAGTCTTTCTCTTGGCACGTAAATTTTTCCGTGCGTGACGGATTCTGTTCTGGAAACTTTATCATGTCTTCGTGTAATTTTTTTTGTTAATTCAAAATTTGTTTCATTCGTAGGTCTAACACTACTTCGATTCAAGATACTACGTTCAACATACATTGTATTTGGCCTTTATTTTGAGAGGGTGCTTTATCTACACTTGTGAACTCAATATGGAATTTATCAATCATTGAACATATATTTATTTCTGCGATAAAGAATGTTTCCAGAAGCATTTATTTATGCAATGTACTGCCTGTGGCAGCGATTTGGAATATTACCAGAAGTATCTATTTATTTATGCGGTGTAGTGCGTGCGGACGTATAGAATGCTGACAGAAGTATTTATTTATTTATGCGGTGTAGTGCGTGCGGACGTATAGAATGCTGACAGAAGTATCTATTTATTTTTGCGGTGTAGTGCGTGCGGACATGTAGAATCAATGACGCGCATCCGAACTCTGCTTTCAAATGATTTTTCTCCCACTTTCATCGTCACGATTAAATCTGATGCTTAAGATCTGTAACCAACACTTCTGTCGTTGTCTGATTTGTCTTCTTTCGAAACCTGTTTGTGCGCGTTTTTATAGGTACAGGCCTGCATTACTAAAATGTTTTTGCGTTGTTTTATGTAGCTACTGGCCTCAATTACAGTATCTCAGTTAAATCGGTCATCAGCAGGCATTTGATTGTTGTAATTCTGACTGCTCTCAGAGGTTCAGCACGTACAAGGATTCAGGATTTTCTTCTTAGCGTCTAAAAGTCTGCCTAAAATCATAAGTTATAAGTTATCGAATATTTTGAAATCAGGCCAGCTTTGGCTTACGGGAGAGAATAGAATTGTTTAGCTTTATATGTTAGATATCGTTGCTCTCCGCTTTATTGCGCCCCAAATGTTCCAGCCCCTCTCAGGCACTTTTTGGTCTGAGGGCTCGTGTTTTTCAGTGTATATAAACTTGGAAGATAAATTTGAATGTTTTCTTCGGATCCTAATTATTCACTTCTAAGTCTGTTAACGTTTTTTCATTAAAATGCTGGCTCAGTTTGAATGCAATAATTATTTTCATAAAGCTTACTTTTACAGAGTTTATTGTGGGGCTGGTAGGCGATATGTTGTCATCAAAAGAGCACTGAACTTTCTTGACATTGGATTGGTCTGTAAATATTGATATATGGTTTTATGGTAGAACAGACACGTACGCGGTTTACACGTTTTTTTCACGTACAGTTGACTTCCTCCCTAGGATTGCTACACAGTGTTTCTATTCTTTGTGTGTTGAAAATATGACAATTCGACCACAAAACTTGAAGTGCTCAATTATTATAGCAACCGGCAAATGAGCGTATAGTTGATCATGAATACATTCCCGCCCAGTACTTGGCTGAGATATTTTAGCGATAGTATTCGAAATTCTTTGTAGAACTTCAGGATTCCTAGTCTGCCATTGGATTGTCGAATTGAATTGCCAGTGATTGAATGCATTTTTCATACAATAAAAATTGTTTCTGAACATTTTCTAATATTGGATATGTTACTGGTCATTTATGGTTGTAGTGATCCGTACAGCGTTGAATGGTTTCAGCTTTTGACTTACCCTATTTCTTCTCTTTTATTTCAGAGGAGCTGCAACCATGCTTCGAGAGCCGTCCGCATTCTACCCTTCGGAGTACGGATAGTGAGGAGCAATCCACTTCTGAGAATTAATTCAAGCTTTTGTAGTTACATCTCAAAATGTGACTGAATCAATGTGCAAGAATATTGCGTGTCTGAGTATAATATCATTAACGCATTGCAATTAGAAAGAATCTTGCCCCTGTGTCGTAAGTTTTGCGGGCATTGAGAATAAATGGCAGTAAGCTAATTGATTAGTTTTATCAGTGTTTTCGTTATGTGTATGTGAATTTGATGTAAGATGGAAGATGACGGCGTACCGACTGCAATATCTTCGATATGTAAAGTGCCTCTCAGCGTGCCTGCCGAGGAGAGTCATTCAAGCAACTCGATTGAACTTTCCCCTCACGCCCGTGACGGACTAGCCGTCATGAGAGGCGTGTCCGCAGCTGCTGCTGCTGTGGCCTCAGCTGATGGCAGTGCCACTAACTTCTCTCACGATGAGAGCGGCTACCGCAACCAGACAAATATCTTCATGTCTGTGATTCGTGCACTGCAAGAAAAGCAGCGCACTGTCGGCTCTTCCGAGATTAATTCTCTTTGTTACAGCGCTGTAGCTGCTGCTGCCAGTCAAGCACACCATCACAATACGAGTTACGCGCCTTCACTCAAAAGAGGAACCTCAAATCAGCCTTCATCGCCTTTTAATGGAAGTGTTAGTAATTCACAATCCCCCAAAAGAGTAAACTTATCACGAGCTACTCGGGATGTAACGCCGGACTTGTTACTTCATTCATCCAAACGACGAAGAGGCTTTCGCGATGCTGGCGACATTGACTTCATTGACATGAGTTCCAGTGACGCACCTAGCGGGAAGTCCGCAGGTGCATACATATCGCAGCTGTCTTGCGACATCGCACGGCGACACGCTGTGTCACCTTCTTCCACATGTTCCTCGTTCTCCATGGCTTCCTCGTCGCCGGGCCCCGCGAGCTTCCACTCGGAGGACCTCGCATCGCGGCTCTCGCGCAGCTATGATACCAACGGCGACTCTACTACAGGATGCAGAGCGGGCGCATCGCCTGAGTACGTTTTATAATATATATTCTTCTGGCGAAGAGAAGGAATGGTTAGAATATTGACGCTGGATCATAATTATTGTATTTTGTCTTAAACACCTGTTCGTTCCAGGGAAATTGTTTGCTATCTGAGATTAGAACTATGTTACTGCGGCTTCAGTTTTTCTAAGACAAACACTTCCTCAATCATGTATCATTCGGAACTGAGAAAATTTGGTCTGTGAGATTTCAGTTTAAGGGACATTTGTTTTTTGGATACATTTTGATTCTTATTCAAGAATTCAAGCTTGACATACCACATAGTATCTAATTAAATTCATCCCACAGTTTTCATGAGTTTTGTTTTCATGTCGACTTCACATTTATACGTAATGAATATAACTATGCGTAAATTTAATTTAAGGAGATACATATCAGCTGATGTGGAAAGTCACCTCACTCCTTTTCTGCTCTATATTTTCTAAACAGTTTTTATCCGCAGGGAGGACATCTTCAACTGGGCCCACCTGCAAATGGCGGAACAAACCTCACATTTGGCAGCACCGACTCCAGGGGAGACGCCCTCCACTACACGCAGCAGTACAGCGTTGGATGAAACTCCTGCTCGCCACCCTTCTCCAATGCCTCCTTCTCTGCTCCAATCTAAAGGATCTCCTCTCTTGATTCACGAGGCTTTGACTGAGAGATCTTTGCGTCCTAACTGCGGCCTGACCAAGTGCAATCTTGCACAAGATATAAAAGCTTCTGATGATGTCAGAAAGCTTGGAATTAGCTGTGCGGCTGCAAATAAAACCTGCGAGACTTTTCCATTGGAAGGCGGAAAAGAGAGCCCAAATACCTCCGTCATTGACGCTGGTGACTCAAAAATATTGTCAAAGGAGCCAAATAGCGTCAGAATAGAGACAGTAGCCATACGAGAATATCCTGTCATCATGGATACAGAGCTGATGACGGTAGAGGAACTATTACAATTGATTAGTGTGCCTAAACTCAATGCCCATGAATCCGATGGTAGTAAACTGAAAGAATTTCTAGACCAGCACGAAATAGGGCACTTGAACCATCTCATAAAGTGTTTCTCGGACTGCATTTTTTCTGCGGCCTTACCTGATAATCTAGTCGGAAACACGAACTTGGCGCCTCTTGATATCATGGACTTATACTGTTGCTCAGTCTTGCGGCTTTATCATCTTTCATTCAAGAACTTGGACTTCATTAACCTGCTGCCTGGGGATCAAATATCGCTACTTGAAAATTTTGCTTTGAAGGGCATATTGTCCGTTGCATTCTTTTGTTTCAAGGAGGAGAGCAATTCCTGGGCTTTCCCCACCGGTCTCTACCAAAATAAAGTGATGGATGTCAAAGTCTCAGAATTGAATCAAATATTACCGTTCAATTATCTACAGAACATCCTGACATTGTGCCACCTTGGAGCTAAGCTTTGTATAGACTGGCCAATTGGAATGCTGCTCATTGGCGCTTTCTTCTATTGTCCTGTTGGCGTCGAAGTGCAGGACATCGAAAAAATTGACAAACTCCGCGATCGCTACATGGAGATTCTGTTCAAGTATCTGAAATGGAAACACGGCCCTTCTAATGCATCTCTTTATTTTCCTGAAATTCTGAAGTTGATGGATGCAGTCCTGAAAAACTGTTCAGAAATGGAGGAAATCACGCTTTCGTTGAATAACGACGAAATCCGAGCGTTGGAGGAGCGCATCGAAACTTTGAACACGAATTATGTGGACAGTGGTCACAAAGATCGGTCAACCAGCTTCACGACCGTGAAATTTGTTGATGGAGTTACTCTAAAGAAAATTAACGCTAGTATTTTGTCATCGATACGGCAAACAATTCGCCAGTCGCTTGCTCAAAACGTTGGGTTAGATTTACGTCAATCGGCAGCCGTCCCAACTGCGTCAATGTATTACTCCAACTTGCCTTTAGAATCAGAAGAAGCTAAATCTCGTAGAGAAGTTGAAGCCCTTCTGATGAAAAGGTTATTACTGAAAAATCACTCAATAAATAGCACTGCTAACTGCATCAGTCAATCGCCCGTACGTGAGAGGAGCAAGGCTGAAGGCATAAACGTTGAGCCTCAAACTCTCAACCCGCTAGCTATTCAACGGCTTCTTCTCAACCTTGCCAGAGCAGACAAGACTGTTCATAGATCAAATTCTGATTTATCTTCTTCAAATAACAGTTGCCAAGACCGAATGACTTCACCATCAACGATGGATAGTTTGTCACCCTCGCCGTATTTGAACAACCATTTATATCGAAACAATGCATTATCGACGGGTATCTCTGGTACTCGCCAAATTCCGTCAATGAGCAGGTCTGATCGTTTCAGCAGCCATGTCGTGAATCTTTCAGAAGTTACCATCACTAAAAATTCGGTTGCGTCGAGAGCAAGTTTTCTTCCTGCTGATGAAAACTTCCCATCTGCCATCGATTTATCGAAAAGGCAACGCAAGAGCTCCCCCGAATCAGTTATTTCCGTCCGGCCAAAAGCGCCGTGTATTCCTGGACTGAAGCCCCTTTCTGAATTGATCGAGTCGCCCAAAAGCCCACCCGTAGTCGTTCCTTCTCTATCATCCGAGACTACAACTCTCTGCAATCCTCCCATAAATTTTGAACTCGAAGAAAGAACGCGGTTGATGGCAAGTGCTCTATTTAATGAAGTGAAGAAGATAAAAGCTAGTTCTTTAGAGAGCGAACATTTGCAGCGTGAAACGGGTGTGGTCAACGACGCCAGTGCCTCGATTCTTACGCCTTCACAAATAGAAATCCTTCTTGAAACTCTAGGCAGGTCCAGACTACGATACAGAGACAACGATCCTTGACAGTTTAGCGTGAATTCTCGTCTATTTTTACCGATATGAAAGTTACCATTTTTATTCGATAATGCCTGTAAATGGTGTAGCACCAATTTTGTACAGAACGTTGTTAGGGTTGATTGATATGACCGTGTATTTATTTATATTAATACCTTACCTGCGATTGCAACTCAAGGGAATAGTTACCGTTATTTTGTGGCTAGCCGTAGTCTTTCTCTGGATGTGGTGATATGGTCCATTCTATTATACGGATCATGTGCTGTTATTTTACTTTATTTGGCATTTGGAAATGTTAATCTATTCGGTAATTTTGTAGGCCTTTGAATGCTCTTCGACGATTCGTATTAAACTGAGTACATTTTGAAGTATTATTTCCAGTGAGATTATGAGTTTTCATCAGTCGAACAAGCTGGAGGATATTTGCGTGCCTTTAGAATTCGAGATTATTTTCTGTCGTTATTTGCTCATTCTAAGCTGTAATGATGTGAGTTTTGCTTGCATGCTGCCTATAGGGCGAATATCCGAGTTTAATAGGGCTAACGCTCAAACTATTTTGTAATGTCTTGCCGACTCTCGTGATATTGACGAATTGAAAGCACAACGTTATGGTGCCGCTTCTAGTGGCATGGGGCCGTATTATTGAAACTCGCTTAAATATACGTAGCGTTCTATTTCTCGTCTGTGATTGGTGGGTTTAGCTCGCAAAGCCGTCAGTGATTGGATGATGTAGTTACAAACCTGACTACTTTAGATAGTAGAGTACCTGACTTGTAGGCTGGTGGCAAGTCTTATGACTAATTCAGTCTTCCTCAAGTCCTCATGAAGCCTGGTGCCTTCACCCGTACAAAGTGTCGCTTTAAATTTTATTTATAAGTTAACGCCACACTTTTCTCTTGCTCATCATGAATCATCCATAAAATGTTACCCCAAAATTAGTAATTTTACGTCGCTGCGGCCAATTAGTTATTGTATTCTTGATTCGAAGATTTGATGAGAAGGATCCTTGCTTGCACAATTGTTCTATTTCCAGCATTTAGTACGTATATATGAAAAAAAAATACATTCGCTTCATTATTTGTGACACAGGAATGGCTTTGAAGTGATATTTAATTCGTTAATCACTGTAAAAAATAAGTCCTGAATTGGTCAGTAAAATGCAAAAATTTACAAAGTCGCACAATGTTTAACGATGAAATAGCGTTTGCTTGGGCTATGAAATTCATACCACAGTGACGTATAGTGGTGAACATAGTATTTGTGTGACACGCGGGCTGCTTCCCATTGTGAGGTAGTAAAATGCATGGTAGCTGTTGTTTTATTCATAAGTTCAAAGTATTAGTCAACCATAATCAAAACTAACTGTTCTTGCCATGGATTAAGTGTATATTACAGAAACATTTATAATTTTGTCGTTAGCTGTCAACTGAGGTTTTTGCATATTATAAAGTGACTGTATGGAGAAATTTCTGTTTTTTTGAGGAAGTTATGCTCTGCAATGTGACCTTGAATGGCAACGTTCTTTGCATTTTTTGCTTATCCACTAATGATTATTCAGTTATTAATTACTGGATCAACTGATTATTAGCTCTTACTTGTTGCGTAACCGCGTCAAAAGTCACTGGAAAAATGATGCAGTAATTGAATAACGTTAGTACAGAGAGGATTATTCGCCTGAGCCTGAAACTGCAACTCTGGTAATTGTCAGAATATTGTAACTAATTTATTGAAGAAAGCTTGATGTGTGTGACTTTCAATTAGCTATCGCAGATCCGTGTTAGAAGCATGAATTATTGCTTACGTTCGTACCCAGTCGGCTTGGATCATTCGACAAGCCACGAGTTGTTGTGCCGGTATTATTATTCGCAAGAAATTATTTTCAGGAAGATCCATATGTTTATAATACTTGATTCGCATGATTTATCTTGTCATGAATGGTTCGCTTCATTTCTTCGTCGTCAAAAAGAACAGTAATTGTGTATGCTAATACTACTAATATTTAGCCTTATTTAAATTCGCTTGCCATTTATTGAATTGTAAATGTTCTCTATTTGATGCATTATATTGATGCATTTAACTAATATATATAATTTAAATTCTATTCTGCGTTAATTACAGGATGAGTTTTAGATGAAATATTAGCGCAATATCGTCCAGGTGAAAATGTTCATTTTTTCAATTTTCTGTTTGTATTGCCGCCGATTTCAACGATCATTGGCAAGTCCAGCGACGGGTGGAAGAATATGCGAGTTACCAAGCACGCAGATCGCGCAAGTTTGTGTACGAAGAGCCCCTCGTTTCGTTCACATTTTAGAATACGAATCAAATAAGACGCACTTTAGTCGAATTTGAACTCAGAATTATAAGCCCTAAGTTGTTGGGTCGGTCACATTTCTTGTGCGTAGTTAGAATGTAGTGGGTGGCAGCTATTAGGTTTATATGAAGGACGGGAAGTTATCCTAAACTGGTGGTCGTCTCGGCTATTAAGGAACGAGTTCTCGGGTCATAGGTTGGTAAAATCAGATATTTTTGCCGTTTGTTGGCAAACTTTATTTTGTTGTGTTTGTGCCCGAATGATTACTATTAAGTTCGCTTTCGTTTAAAAACTAAGTTATTGAATTTATTTTAGTTGTACCGCTAAAATCACCATTGATGTCGTTCATGAGACCATAATACACGTATCCGTGCGTTTGATTAATAAGTTACAAAGTTTTGTTTTCTGCATCACGGAAAGAATATTCACGAAGATACCAGTAATTTGATCATTATAATTTTTTTCATAATAAAACTGAATAAGAATGAAAGAAAGACTATTGTGAAATTGTGCACAATTCCTGCGATATGTACAAAAACACTCTACCCTAAGTACTGGCCAACTTATCAAGCGAGCTATGAGCTCGAAAAAGAGACTCTACCTTAATCGGTGCTATCATATTGATATTATAGAAGAATCCTACTGTGTTACACATCTGTTACCATTCGTATCAGTTAAATCTCGTTGTATTTATGTTCTAGAGATTACATTGAGGCCTATATACATAGGCCTCAATGGCAACAGACATCGTCGTACGGTTTTCGGGCGGTCGGGATGCCGTCCATGATTCTGTTACAAATAATAGTTATAATACTCTTTTCGGCTTGACACAGATGCATGGAACGCACCGATGTGCCGGAAAACTAATTTTTATGCGTAGACGAGCAATGGTTAGCCGCAGACGAAATGAGTAATTTTCTCTCATATTCAGGTAGCTTCACTTCTCTCATCCACGTGTCATTAGGTTCTGTATATTTCGCTTCTGAATCCTGCAGACGCCATCGTTTGCGTACTGAACAATTACTCCCAGACTGCTCAGTGATGATGTGTGATTTAATTTCAGTTCTATCTTAATTTTTGGTACTTCCAACTATATTAATTTCTCAGTGTTCAAATTTATTTTTTTTTATAGGAATTATTAGAATCGAGAATATTGGAAAGGAATTGCACTGCCAAAAATTTCTGTTGAAAATGATGATGTGCTTTTTAGATCGAAAATTTTTTCTTCCTTTTCATCAGTTAATGCTCAATAAACTGCTATATTGGAAATAAAACTAATCCGTCTGATTAAATGAGGTTGATGATCATGAAGTTGGTGTTCAAAATAAGCCGTTTACGTTATTCTAGAGCGGGAAAACAAGTCATTTATCACTAATCTTAGTTCTCAACCAAATTCACGTTTTTTTCGGTTCTGTGTTGAAAAGATGAAATTGTAGAATTTTTATTGTTCGTGCCAAATGCAATTAATCCCGAAAAATTCCTTATGTCACTTGCAACGAAACAGGCTGCACCAATTTTCCTATCGCTATTATACATAAATATTTCAATACCGTTGTTTTGGGGGGGGGGGGGGTTGGTGATCCTGTTTCAGTTTTTACTACCAAATTATAATCAGAGCCTCCCATTTCCATGCCACTTGAAACTATCCCCGAGAATGTCAAGTCATTTAACAGATGTTGAATAATGTCGCGAAATGAAATGGTGATCAGTGGTTAAGTTAAGCGGATTGCATGTTGCACTTAAAAGCGGTTGTCTTTCATATCGCAGTTATTTACATTATTATAGTTGTTTTGTTCATTGCAAAAGATAATGATTTCATTGCCCCTAATGGTACATTGCCGTTTTTATAGTTCATCGACTCTCAACAAAGGCAGCTCATTCAAAATTATTAATAATCAACGTCGTATCCTTGTTCAGGCTTGTAGCCAAGGTATTTGAGCGTTCGCTAGAAGTGACCATAATTATATTTGCGAGGCTGGACCACTGACTAGTACGTCTTATAAAATTAGTTCTATGATTCATCATTTGCATCACTTCAAGATGAGTGTTTAGATTGAGACGTGCGTTTAGATTCCAGCAGCTTCCTGAAACACCAAAATGCCAAACGCTTTTAATGCGTGATCAACTTTTTTATGAACCATTGCTCAATGTTTGTATTACTTTAGCAATGTGAAACGAATAAATATATATTGTTATTTGTAAAATTATTGTTCCTAACATTTTCATACCAATTCTGGATAAACTTTTGTCCAATTCCCTAAATTCTTTGGAAAGATCATTTCGTCCGCGTATTACCATGGCGCGCATTCTTTCTGCGAACTAATACCAGTAAAACCATGAAAATTCACACCCATGTATGATGTGTTCTTACGTTTAGTATAAAAGAAATGTATTTTCCAGTATACCTTCTGCATCCACTATTGATGATGTGATTGTATGCAACACAAATGCCCACACGCAGGGAGAAGTGAACGCTTCCATTGAGAGCAGAATCCCTGGAGGCGCATATGAGCAGATATGACACATTTGGTAATTATTCTCTTCGTTGTATTCTTATCGAGGCCCGTCATACCTTATTGAAGTAGGTTTGGAAAGATTCAGTGATTATAGGCTTTAATAAACAGTTTTAAATAAGAAAAAGCAATAACTAGTCAACGCATAACTTATATTGGGATAAATGGAGATCACTAAATCTGAAGCTATTTTTTCATGTGATTGATAACGCCGAAAAATTACATGTGATGCAAGTATTTCTTCAGTCATTGCATAACGCATATCATAATATTTTAGTACGGAATAACGGTGAAGCTGATCAAGATCTCTAGATATTTTTTAGTGCATTGAGCTTCTGAATTGCGACTTGCACCGAGCGAAGGACAATGGCAGAGTTTTCTGATATGAGAATGAACCCGCCTTAACTCTACCTTATTTCAGCTTGCGTGATACGAACGGACAAAATTGGTGTTGTGTCAAATTAATGAAGTAGCTTCAGAAAAATTTGCTACTAAAGTAAATTATTTAGAGAGTCGCTTCACAAGTACAACTGGTTTGCTCATCCTGTGCTATTTTGCATCAGCATTGGATCACTACAGAACGCAAACTCATTCCGGGTTCAACCTTTGGTACTTATTCCATATACAACAGTATGAACCTTCGCGACTTATTGGTAAAATTTTTAATCTACAAAAATTTACACAGAGTTTCATTTTATATTAGTTAACAATATGTTGTGATAAATAACTAATGAAGAATCTAATGCCGTCTATAAAAACTTTCAAATAGCATTCATGTTAGTTAACGCAACGCAAAGAAAAAAATCTTAGGCTATCCCTAAATTCTACTATAAATACGGCGAGTAGAAATCCATGCAGCAAAAGATAAAATGTTATAATAAGTAGAAGACAGCACACTACTCGGCACTCAAGCGAGCTGGTAATCAACAACTCATGAACTTTCTATTCTACGTAAGCTCTGCAATTGAAGCGAAGCGGTTCACGTAACTTATAAAAAGTGTAGTTTATGTTTTGAAAAGTCACCAATCGAAACGATTATTAAATATTATCAATCCGTAAATTCATGTATTAAATCCACGGTAGCAACTGCTGTCAAGAACTGTGCACTAATTTGATAGTTTACGACGTCCAAACAACTCCTACCGAGTACCAGGTGAATATATATGAACCAGCTAGTAAACTGGGAAAAAGACTTTCGTTTGAACACGTCAAGCACCCTTCTAAACAAGCCAGCGCGCCATATAATACACCTCGGTTATTTACCTCCTAGCAGCTACTGTAATTGCAAAGGCAGTTGCAATTCTGCAACTGCCTATCACTGGGGCCTGCCATGAAGACGCTCAGCGGTGATCAGAGTGCGTTGCAAGAATTCAGTAAATACTCATTGAGGAACATTTCATTTTTGAAACTGTATTTAAAATGAGAAACAATTATACTACGACTACATAAGAGTTCACCCAAGGGTTAGTACGATATATGATGATTGTTATGATTCTCAAACATTACAATGTCAGGCAGGTAAAGAATTGGTCATAAGTGTTTAAATATTAGCTGGCTTCAAAGTAAGAGCTTTCACAAATACACAGCATACAATTCAACTAAGAATTATTACATAAATATCATATTACCGCCAATAACAGATTTCACTTCTAAGTCCCTCGCAGAGACAGGTAAACATATACTCTTACCTGTCTCGCTAGAAAGTATTTAAATCCAAGGAGATTTGTTGAGTTTGGCCGAACACGGCTTGGAGTCGTCAGATTTTTGGTTCTTATCTGCTTGAACTGTTGAGGTAGCCGGAGTTGGAGGTGCCGGCTTCTTCTTGATCTTGACGTCGTCTGCCTCAGTCTGGCTTGGAAGTGTGGCCAATCGTATCCCATCAGTGACAGCGTTTTCAATTAACGGAGTTGTATCAGTAGTAAAACAGACTGAAGTACTTGCGGATGATGGAATTGCTGCAGTAGGATTTAATGGAGGTGACGAGGACGATGTGATCAGAGGAGGAGTCTGAGTAATATTATGAAGGGGCGCAGATGCGTTGGTAGTTTGCAGAGATGACGGATTAACTTCTTCCTGCATTGTTGAGGATGTTGAAAATTTAAGCGGTTCATCCAGTTGCGTTCCTTTACCATCTGGGGTTGATCCAGATTCACTTTTTGGCACTTCAGACTTTTTTGGCCGAACACAAGCTCGAACGTGAACAGGTGGAGTCTCCGGGGGAGCTGGCGTTGAAGGAATGACTGCAATGTCTGGTGGTATGGCAGGCACAGTTTCATTGCGATCCCCAAACTTTTTCGTAGAGATGCTCGTTGGAGAAGTTTTATGAGCGAGAGAATCAATCAATGGAAATTCACTGGACTTCGGCCTATCAATACCTAAGGGAGCGCTCTGACCTGTTTGAATTCCGGTAAGCTTCTTAGACTCTAGTTTCAATACCGTATTGCTAATCGGTTTATTCGTAGCAGCGTCAGCTACAAGATTGTCTCGAGAATTCTGCCTCGATGAGTTCAGGGGCTTACGAACGACGTCCACGGTTTCCAAGTCTGAAGTTTTTGTGAACTGTTGCATCTGGTCTGAGTTCCGGGGACGATGAATTTGTGTTTCCTGAATTATCGTTGAATTAGAACTCTTAGATGATTCCTTGCCTACGGTACTCGGTAGCAGCGGCATCTGGCCACACGGAGGGAAAATAGGCTGAGGTCGAACCTCGTTCCCAGAGACGGTATTTTGTTGCCTTTTCTCATTCACTTGCTTGGTACCAACGGGAGTTGTATAATCTGCACATGTTTTCTGAGGGACAATGATTTTTTTATCGGTAGGTTGAGTGCCAGATTTCAGAGAGCTCTCTGGCCGGCGTCCTGGGATAGTGAGCATGCTGGGGTCTGTTGCTTGACCTGAAAAAAGTACAATCATCAGAATCAGATCTAATGCTGGATCCTTGAATATGTTAATAATATAATGATAATAATAATAATAGCGGTTTCAGCGTTAATTAGGCCGTAGGTCTGTCACCGATTCTTAACATCGCAGAACATTCACAGCATTTCGCGGTCTCGAACTCGCAACTCACTGATTCAATTCTGCTGTGCTTAACCGCCCGGCCTCCTTGCCGATTCTGACCAGAAACTGGCGCACAGAGCTGGGATCGAACCCGCGCCTCTCTGCGCCAATCCAGGTACTCTGCATTAACCACTGGGCCACCCTGCCCACTTGTTTAAAATCTTTTTAACTTGTTCTCAAAAAACATTCGGCATTCAAATAGTACAAAACCGATCTAAATTCTCCAAAGTGCAAAAAATCTAAAATAAATTTAGTACCGTCTTTTTTGTCCTTTTGGAATGTCCAAGCGGTTTTGGGTAACGGAGTTTCAGCGGGAGAGTTGGCTGGGCTCAGGTCGAGACTCTGAATGGCCTCCATGAGATGTGGCCCGGTGTACAACTCGGGAAAAGGTGAACAGCCGCGAGAAGAATTTGGCGAGTTGTCTGGAGTGCCTTCCTCCATCTTACGTCGGGCTTTCTCCATTGCCTCCTTTAGATTATTCTTCCCCGTGTCATCCGTAATGTGGCTTCGACCTATCTGGTTACCACTGCAAAAAATCACCAAATAAATTATCATTCGTCAAACAAATAGTCACGATATTTTCCTAAAACGATGAGTAGAACCTTACCCTCATATTCAGTTGAATTATGCTGAACTTTGTGCATAACTAAGGTTTTATGCTAGATGAAGGGCCACAAAATCCACTTATGCTTTCATATTTTGTTTAATTATTTTGAACGATCTCTTAAAGAAGTTAGTTTTGATTCTTAGTAGAATATTGATATGCACAAATTTGATAAGCACAAAAATTCTATGGGCAGTAAAATTTTCCCTCACCCAATCTGCGGGCCAGAGCCGCAAGATGTGTCCGCAATCTTTGACACCATCGCCAGTCTGGCGATGCGGCGGAACCTGTCAGCGGCTGTGGGATCTGCCGGCGGGAGCGCAGGCTCAGCGGCGCTGGAGTTGTCCTCCGCCCCCATGGCCGGGGACACGTGGAAGTCCCGCATGAGGCGGCGCTCCCATATCCTCATTTTACGGCCCAACGCGGCTAGGAAATTCCATAAGCTATATCAAGTGCAAAAAAACCTACGCAAGAGAGACTGAAATAATCAGCGCGAAAGAGCCAGAGAATAGTAACAAACAACTGATAAACTACGTATTTGCGTTGTTAATTCAAAAGTGCAATGATTGGATAAATATAACATGAATAAAAACATTGAATGAAAAAAAGCGTCACTATCATCTGTACGATAAGTACAATGATATACACAAGTATCCTCGCACCACCTCACAATCATCTGTATAAGTCAAATGATCTCCACCAGTTTCCTCCCACCGCCTCACTATAATGTGTATGATTGTCTTTCCGACGACACTTGTCTCTGCGAATTACCTTTGCTCTTCTTCTCGCACATCGAGATGTCCATGCCGTTGGCTTCGAAGAGGTCGATGAGCTCAAACCTAAGAGCTGATATGTCGCCCTTAACCTCGTTGATGTCGTCCTCGGTGACGGCCTTCTCCATGTTCCTCTGCTGCATGGAGCACACGTAGCGCCAGATGAGGGCGCGCATAACGGCCAGGTAGCGGTAGTCGCGGGCCTTGCGCGCTCGTCCCATTGTCTGTTCGAGTTGCGAAGGCAGTAACAGAGAAAAATGGTTGTGCCGATGAAATTAAATGGAAATGGCTCCTGAATTGCCACAAAAAATTAATAAAACGGAAAGACATTAAAAAATTTGAAAAAGGAGAAGATAATTATGTCGGAAATATTCAAAAATTAGGGTGGGAAAGACCATTTTCATGGAGTAAAAAATAGTGTCGTAGTTTGAAAACGCAGCAATTAATACCTTAGAGGACATTTTCCTCAGGAGTTCTTTTTGCTCGTGTCCCTTGAAGAACCTCTTGATACTCTTAACAGAAGGAATGATGTTGAAAGGAGGGGGAACTGTGCGGCCATCTTCAAAGTACGACATCCATAGCTTTGTTCGAGCGAATTTCCACTCAGTGTCAGCGTGATCCTGTGGTGATTTAAAATTTATTTTTATTGCAGTTGATGTCAGTGTTCCTATAGGCAATCAGTGCAGTGTAAAATGATTCCGTAAAATTTTCAAGTCAAGAGATAAGTAGTATAAACGTAACATACAGTCAAATCTTAACTCATTAACTCAGAATTTGCAGCCAATCTGTTTATAACTTGTGGATAAAAATGTTATTTACCTTAGATTTTGTGAGGAATGTGTTCAGCAACAAATTTAGGGTGTAATTTATTGACAAATATGGGGTGTTAATCAAGGAGTTAATTTTTATTTACTAACAACAATGAAAGAATATGAGTTGGACATCATGGCGATGAGGAGATTGAGCAGCACGATGATGTTGATGATGGAGTAAGCGCCGAACATCGTCATGGACCAGAAGCGCGTGTAGCCGCCCACGCCCGTCAGCTCGAAGTCGTCCAAGCCCACCATGCCGAAGCCCGCCCAAAACAGCGACTGGGACGCCTCGAACAGACTGGCGACAACACAGGTCATTGATCGAGTAACTGCCTCGAACAGACTGGCAACAAAACAGGTCATTGAGTGTTGCCTCGAACAGACTGACGATAACACAGGTCCTTGAGTATCGCTTCGAACAGACTGGCAACAACACAGGTTATTGATCGAGTACTGCCTCGAACAGACTGGCGACAATACAGGTCATTGAGTGTCGCCTCGAACAGACTGGCGACAACACAGGTCCTTGAGTATCGCCTCGAACAGACTGGCGACAACACAGGTCATTGAGTACTGCCTCGAACAGACTGGCGACAAAGCAGGTCATTGAGTGTCGCCTCGAACAGACTGGCGACAACACAGGTCATTGAGTACTGCCTCGAACAGACTGATGACAAAATAGGTCATTGAGTATCGCCTCGAAAAGACTGGCGACAAAACAGGTCATTGAGTATCGCCTCGAACAGACTGGCGACAAAATAGGTCATTGAGTGTCGCCTCGAACAGACAGGCGACAACACAGGTCATTGAGTGTCGCCTCGAACAGACTGGCGACAACACAGGTCGTTGCGTGTCGCCTCGAACAGACTGGCGACAACACAGGTCACTGAGCTTTACTTCCATGAGTACAGACTGGCGGTCACTGGATATATTTGAAGTGGGAGTAAAACTCTTCTTACAAGCCTAAGCAACACTTCACAAACTATCTTATACAGTTAAATCCGAATGAATTGACGAATTAAGGTGAGAAAGAGACCCCTCATGTTCAGCATCGACTAATAACAATAAGAAATTAATTTGAATTCAACCGATATAGGAACAGGGCATGGTATTAAAATAAAATAAATAAATAGTAAGAACAGGACTTTCAAGTATGTATTTAAATCAACAGGCAAATTGAATTATGATTTTGATCATTGCTACACAAAAATTACATAATTTGTAATCACGAAATCATGCTTACAAAGGCTGGCAAATGAGGTCCCAAACGAGTATTTTTTCAAGTATCGCTGGAACTTTCTGTAGCAATGAGGTTATTTAAATCATAAATTATTTTATCTCACTTGTGAAATCGTCGCCACTTCATGCAAGCGTCACCGTTCTTTGACCAGTCGGGTAAGCCCCCAGGCAAGGAATAGCACTTCTGCTTCTCCAGGTCGTTATAGTACCACAGCAACTGCGTCAGTCCTGCTCACGTGAGCCGGGCATCAACACTACTCTGGGTAACACTTGAAATACTTTCTGTTACTCAAAATACTTTATGGAGAATACGAAAATGTATATTAAATGAAAATAAAATTTAATTCAACCAATATTGTAATAGTTTATATGTACCCACATTTTCCAAAAATTCATTGTTACATTCTTTATTTCAATTGCACCGCAAGATAATAAATGGTAATTTGTAATATAGGACGATAAGATTCAATTTCGCACTGTTTCGTTTTTAAATACACGTCTTAAGAGTTCTAAAAGATAACATTTAAAATGAAGTAATAATTTTCATATCTGAACAATTTATTCAGAAATTAAGTAACTGAATTAGAGTTTACGTCTGTCACTAGAGTTTACGTCTGACAATAGAAACAAAGTTGTTTATATTATATTATAATTTATATTATTCTTCTTCGTGATATTTTTTTTCTGTAAGGCTTATCAGAACATAGCAGAACTCACCACAAGCAAAAGCGAAGAGGACGAGGGTGTAAATGAAGAAGAACTTGACGATGTCGATGACCATCCTGCCGAGGGAGATCTGCAGGGGCCCGAGGTACGGGTTAATGCTGAAGATGTGCACGAGCTTCAGGGCAGACAGGATGTTGGCTGCTGAGAAGAGGCCTTCCGACACCAGCTGCGCGTCGAAGCCGTGCCATTCTTGTCGCGGGATGAACGCCGTCTGCGTGCAAGTTTTATCATGTTTGAATTGAGAAACTGTCGGAACACTAAGGCAACTTTGTTTATTCAAATGCTTACAAACATAAATTGACGACAAGGATCATCGTCAGTGAAATATGAGAGTTGCTTAAACGCATCGAATAAGATTTGCGGTGCTCAGAATCTAAAAAATCTAGAGAAAAAAAAGACAGCAAGAGGATAGATACTGCTAAATGTCGCATAGTTTTCAATATTTAATAAATAGATGCAAGTCACCTGAGGATCTTGGCTGATTTCGATGGACTGTTGAATGTAAGCGAAGACTCTTAGCAGAAACGTCGAGAGGTAGAGCGAGTCGCGCATTATGTCAAGGATGTTCCACATGTTGCGAAAATACTTTCCTAAACCGTCTTTGTGGATCTCTTTCAATTCTTCCCATAAAAAGCCTGCCGATGAAAAATGAACCTCAATAAAAAATTACCAATCATAAAAAAACATTAACAACAAGCTCTTATATATTTCAATCCTTCTTTGCCTTGAGTCGTTCATTGTCCAGTGAACTGATGAATAATTCTTTCATAAATTTTCTTTTTAACGATTTTATGATACTAGAATTTCAAGGGGCACATTAAAGTGATAATTCAACTTATGTACACGCATAATGCTCACATATTTTTTGCATACAAAAGCACCGACATGAAAAAAGTCTAAATCAAACTAGAGTTCTCACCGAAGACGTAGAAGAGGATGAAGCATTCGATGGGCGTTGGCAAGTTGCCGCGCTGCTTCTTCAGCGACTCCGCCAAACTCTGCCTCATACTTTCGGTGCCCAAGTAAAATACGAACAACTCTTCGAAGCGCACCGAGAACAGGATCAACAGCACTGAAATATTACAGAATTATGAACCAAGTTTAATTTCTTCGTTTAAAACATGGTTAATTTGAATTAAGATGACCATCTGTAACAAATTAACAAACATATACAAGAAACATGAATCGAAAGCCATACAATTGAACGAAACCTAATGAAAGCTGACATGAACGAGCTCGGGGAGCTACGTGGTTAATTAATATTACGAGAATTAGAGTAGAGGGATGGGGATACGAAACCCCGCTATTCGTTGTGAAAATTCTGGTCGAAGTTGTCGGGCGGTTAAGAATCTGTGACAAGCCAACTAAACTGAAACCTAAATATTATTATACTTCATAATGTCCAAAATGTAAATCAAGGGAAGAGTAAGCTTATCTCACGTAGAAAGAGAAGGTACGACGCAGAGTGCAGGAGGAATTTCATGAATGGAGTGCGGATGAGTTTGCTGGAAGCTGTGTCCGGGAAAAGTATGTACTGCACACAGTACACGGGGAACAGGACCACCACCTGCCATGCAATTACGCTTAAATATATAACTAACAATAGATATGGAAGAAATTATAAGATTAAAACATTTTTCATCATTGCGCTGGAAAATTATAGGATATACTTAATGTATAATTTATGATAGGATGCTGTTTCCAAAGAACTCATTAGGATACCCAAACTATTAACCTTTTAAATTCTACACACGGTTATGAGATGACAACTTATTACTAAGCGTAAATTCCATAAGCCTGAGATGCATCGCATTTCTGAAATAATTAATTTCTGAGACTGGATCTTGCTAATAACTATTACAATAACTATTGTACTGTAATGCTCATAACTTTCTTGTAAACTTGTAATGCTCATAATTAGACTGCTTTCGGTCTTAAAATATTACTGTTGATATTCACTCGCATCTAAAAACATTAACATCCTCAAAAAGATCATGACTCCTGCAATTTGTATAGAAATATTTCAAAACACATCCACCAGAGATGATAGCAAGCAACGGGACACGTTTCATGTATTTTCTCATGTGAAACTAATATAAGGACTTATAGAAGATTACTTATTTTTAATTGGGTGATTTCCATAGATGTTTTGAATAAAAAATAACTGTCGAGTATGAACCTTGAACAACTGAAAAAGCTTCTGCATGAGAGTGAGGCGCCTGAAGCCCGGCAATCCGGCGTACCAGAGAGCAGCAAGGAGCTGCTGGACGTTGGGATGAGCAACGAACTGGAAAAAATACAGATACTTTAAATACATCTAAAATCTGCCACAAATTTTTATCAATAACGTATTTTAATATGAAAAACTACCTTCGGGCCCGTGATGTGTCTGATTATGTATCGTTTATTGAAAGGTGTACATGCTTTTATGCGTTACATCTTTTCATAAGAAACTTGGCTGAGAAATACTTGGAAAACAAATTTTTGAGATGAGCTACTATTCACATTGAAGGAAACCACACATATTGGAATTGACCTCACTCCACTCTCTCTCTCTCTGTCACGAGAACGCCATTGAAAAGCTGTTGCCGAGATTAAAATTTCCACAGGATTAAATTCTACTCATAAGTTACTGCTTGCCGACAACGATGATACAAATAACAAGTTTTTACGAGTCTAGAAATACTAGTAATAGAGAGGCAAAGAATTGCCACGTTTCAGAAAGAACATACAAGCAGCTTGGGCCTCTAGAGTCACAACTCACAGCTTTCTGCTTGTAGTCGATGGCAAGTTCAAGTCTCTTGAGCTTCATGCTGTCGCCGTCTTCGTAGGGCAGCGCCTCAGGGTCATAGTTGAGCATGACCGCGAGCTCCGTCGAGGAGCGCGTGTGCGACAGAAGCTCTTCCGCAAATGACCGGCATTGCTTTCGCAATTCCTAGAGGAGACAAAGAAGCATGCATGTCCTTTTATGTAAAACAGGAATGTTGTCATTGTTATTTTTAAGTAACTCCATTGTTATTTTTAAGTAACTCCATTGGAGTTACTCCATTTTTAAGTAACTTTTGAGCTTGGATGAAAACCAAATTACATACCTCACACTGAGAGCCATAGTTACGGCACCAAGTATAACATGAGCAGCACTGACATAAACTTGCATAAATGAACTGTAACGCCTAATTCACCAAAAGCTCGGAGCTGAACACTTCCTTCGCTGGAATGTGGTACTCCCTGCTGAACTCTTTACTCACCACATACTCAAAGCTGAACTCTTTACTCACCACATACTCAGAGCTGAACTCTTTACTCACCACATACTCAAAGCTGAACTCTTTACTCACCACATACTCAGAGCTGAACTCTTTACTCACCACATACTCGGAGCTGAACTCTTCACTCACCACATACTCGGAGCTGAACTCATTTTCCTCATAAGCAAGAGACTTGAGTTCGCCCGAGAGCTCGAAGGCGGTAAGGATGGGGTCGGTGGAGGATAGCGCGATGAGTGAGGGCGAGGCGAGGGCGCGATAAGAGTTGATGCGCGACATCGAGTGACGCAACGAGTCGTCCGTTGAAGACTTGATGCACTCATCGCAGCCGCACCTTTGGAACGTCATTAATTGTTCCTGAGAACGCGACTCTGGAGACGGATCTTACAACGTATTATCTATATATTGCACGGGCGAGTTATGTTTGACGCGAAAGACATTGATTCTTGTATTTTGTAATAAATTTTTTCTTGTGTTTGAAATTAATAAAGTGATATTGCTGATAGAATTGAAACGTTTTATGAAGTGACTGGATCATTCATTCGATGGTCACTTAGCGATATGTGAAGATTTAGATACTATAAATTTGTGGGAAATATGAAAGCTTTGTTGCAAGACCTGATGTCATGAGGCATGGGCAGAGCAGCGCCGCGATCAAGAAGGATCTTTAGGATCTCGTAATTGTCCCTGTGAGCGGCCAGGATGAGAGGCGTGATCTCCGGAGTAAAGGATGCGGTGTGACGGTCAATTTTCTCCCAAGACTGTCCTCGGACAAATTAAGTGGTTATGGTTTTCGAAGACTAATGAGGTGAGCGATATATAACTTGCGTAAATCAGGAAAAGTCCATAAAAATCGAGAAATTCTTCAGAAACCAATTGAAAGGATCTTAATGCGAAGCAATTCGATTTGTTTTGAAATATTGTTTTCTCGAAAATTAACCGTTAATTTGAAAATTGTTTCCCTGCTTATGTTGAAAAAATGAGTAAATTGGTGAGATAATCTTGCGGAAAGAAATATACCCCGCTTGATTTTTCGCTGAGTCAACGGAAACCTTGACATTTTCTAATTAGGAATCCTAGATAAGATCTGATTCTCAGAACTACCAGGCCATTTAAAGAACGTTCTCATCGGGGGTTTCTTCGACAATCCTCGTACCTAAATTATTTTTCTTATCGATCATAATCATTTAAAACTTTAAAAACTACCAGGCCATTTAACGAGCGTTCTCATCGGTGGTTACTTCGACAATACTCGTACCTAAATCATTTTTCTTATCGACCATAATCACTTAAAACTTCATTCCATTTTTCAACATAATAAATAAAAATAAGGAATGTTCACTCACGTAGGGCTCTCCTTCCTTGTGAATGACTTCCTCATGTTCAAGCAACACCTCAACAGCCTCGACAAACTCGACATCGATGGCGTGCAGCAAGGAGTCCTTCGTGTCCACCCCCATGACCACGAGCAGCTCGACCATCTCCAGGTTCTCGTTGTCAATGGCCATGTGCAGCGCCCCCCGCCCCATGGGGTCCACGCAGTTGCGGTTCATGTACGAGGGATGACGCGCACACTTCTGCAGCATCCTGGGTGTCGTAGGGTGGTGAGAGTAAACATTAATAACGGTGAATAGTAAAATAAATCGAATAAAGCTTTTGCTGAATGAAGAATGAAAAAATATGAATATTAATTGCGAACTTCAGGATCGCATTGAATATAGGAAATGCAGCTTAATTTTATAACATAGATAAGAAGCCTGTGATTTTGCACTGTAATGTTAAAAAAATTAAAAATAAAGTATCATTAGTTTAGGTAACAAATCGCTTTGATACGAAAGGTAAACTTGAAGGATTAAATACACAGATAACCAATGCAATAATATTGTGGTACCATAACTGACATTATTTATACGAATTCGAATGTGGAACGATCATTCCCTAAGAAAGACCCCGGCAATTTAAAATTTTATACTCTATAGTCAAAGGAATATTTATAAAATATAATGTTACATTCATTTCGTTTCAAACAGAAATTAGAAATCGCAATACACAGGTGATTTAATTTCATTAATCAGACTAACAATACAAAATCAAGAATTTTCACTTCATCAATTAGTTTTGAGATACAAATTTTATAAAATTAGTTATTTATTTACATCTATAATATATATCATTATCGCCAGATAGATTTCTTGCTATCGATAGATGCTATCTACATAACAAACTTTTTGATAGTGGCGATGTCTCCACGCTCGACCGCCAGCAGGTATTTCTTCTCCTCAGTGGTGAGCGGCTTGGGCAAGTCTGGCATCGGGATGCGGCATTTGCCCTGGACGAGAAATTCAGATTTCGCTATAGGAAGGGAGCACAGCTCGACGTTTACACATTTCTTGTAGTCAGTAACATAAACCAGTAAATTATAACGTACAAGTCCAATACAATGATGTGAATATTTGTAAAAGAATCATTTGCAAAAAGACATCAAGTTACGGAACATTCCAATGAATAATGAATTTTTTGGAGCCATTAAGCATTGAATTCATGGATCGTTGCTCGTGTTCACCTCCATGTCGATGCCCATGGTTTCGTTCTTCGTGGGCTTTTCGGCATCTTCGCCGGCGACAACAGCCGTGGCCCGCGCCGTTGCTGCGGCCTTGCGAGCTCGATCAGCAAATGCCCCCATGCTTATGTGAACCTGCTACAGCAGAGAACTTAAACTCATGACAATTCATGAAATCTTCAACACAAAATAAAAATTCATGTAAACCGATCAAAGTGAACACTTCTTTTGGAGACTGAGCGTAAAATATAGAACTGTTGAGAAGACGAAGTGCATTTGATTGAGGAGCTTTTTAAAAATTGATCACGCAATTTAGCAATATTTAATAGGTGACAAATTCAATTAATGAACTGATGGCTAATTTACCTTCTTTCAGTAATGAATAAACTAGTTAGAAAAAATGCTGACCTTTTACAACGTAATTTTCAGTTTCGCTGAAGAAACTGCAGCGGTGACGGAGCTGTTGATTCTTGCGCTGTTGGTAAAGTTATAAGAAAACCCTACTAAGACTCGCAATTACAACTCCTACAAGACACTTCATTTATACATCCTTTACATACAGAGAAGTTATTCTTTTTATTTGTATTGACCGTAGTAATAGAGAATAGCTGGCGTACCGTAGCCTCGAGACGTGATAGTCTCAGGCAACGCCGCTTCTGCAGAGCTTCGGCCTGACGCGAACTTTAAAGTGCACTCGAAAGGCTTCTTTTAACGCGATCAACTCGCAGTCTGACGCTTCAAGGTCGCTTGTGAACATTTCCAATGTAAATATAAACGGTGTGCTTGCTGTCTTCTCTGTTCATGCACAGCTTCTTCCTCCCATTAAATTGTTCTCTTCGTAAGGATCGATTGGATGACAAATTTTCGTAGGTATAAAAGATAGCCGATGGGGCAGAAAAAAAGCAGTATTATAATGTTAAAAATATCGATATCGCTGATGAATATCAGTTACTTTGAAGTTGAAACCAAAAATAAAATGAGCGAAATTAGAAAACTTGGATATTCAATATCACAATATTGGAAATATCAGAAAGAATTTTCGCGAGAGATGATTTTAAGCAAAAATTACCGCCAAATATTCAGGAGTTGGGCAGATTTAACAACAACTATCAACAACAAACTCGGGGTAAAGCCTTAAAACACAATGAGCAGGTTTAGAATTTATTGGCTCATAAGGGTTCAAACTTAGAATTTAAACAAGTTTTTACAGGTAATCGTTTAGATTAAGAACAGTGAGGGCAGCCATTTTGAAGGGAGTTGATGACCTTCACTCTAACACTCCAGGAATGACAGAGACGTTGATCAGGACGCTCAAGACTCGCCGTAAACACTTAAGTTACTCGCTATTCACACAACTTAACAGATAATTTGACACAGCGATCTTACCCTACGCAGACATTCCAGTTCATTCAAATCAGGTGAATACACCGAAAATACCTTCAAGTGACGAAAATGTTGATCTTGATTTAAATCAAAAGAAGTCATCAAGATTTAAGGTATATATATGTGAAGCCAATTTGTGCGACTAAATAACTCTAAAGGAACTGCCGGAAGAAATAACAAGGCAGTTTTCTGTAAATCTCGTTCTGTCTTTTCCGGAAAATAGGCAGCATTTCTTCTCATCGAAGAGTTAATTTTGTTCACAGTTATACCATACGAAAACCTACAGCAGAAATCGTAATTCGCTGCGACAATATTTATCAATGATAGTTTGTTTAAACTGACACTGCCTGAAGAGTTCCAGAATTTACAGGTGTCACTTAACGGCTGCACTCTTAACTGTAAGGGCTTCAGCCGACGACGCGGGTGGCTTTGACGCTAATGCTTCAATCTCGGACCATAGGAAAGATAAAAAATTATACAATGATATCGAAACATAGAAATTACAAAATAATACATTAATCTCGTATCGTAGAGAAGAATAGAAAATGATACACTAGTTTCTTATCGTGGGAAATAAAGGAAAATTGTAAAGATCGGAATTAAGCTAAATATATTTTGCTCATGATGAGGTTAATATGAAATAAAGCACCACTCAAATAAAGCATACAAAAATTGTAATTTTAGTACAGAACCACAACAGTGATTGATTTTTTGCAGGTAGTTAAGAAAAGGCATCATCGTTCCGAAAATTCAGATAAAACTATTTCTTGATATTTGAAAAGGAATTTCTTAAGAACTCAAAATATTTTTACTGAAGACGAAAGCTGCATCGGATGAAATGACGCACGTAAATTGATCGCATCATTTTATTTCTTATTGAAACCGAAGTTATATTTTTTTGACTTGTATTCACACGAACGATTCTCATGCGTGCTCGCTCAAGTGTTCCAGTTATATAAAGTTTGAGAAGAGTGATCAGGATACATTTATACAAAAGTGATATGTAATACGCTCGACGCGCCTTACTTCAACGTATTATATACATTTAAATGTCTTACGATCTATTCGAGACTCAGGAGACTACGTACTATACACAACTATTACATTATTCCTCTCGCAGCCAAGTTGTGGTACTGAACACTCCTACACGTGGATAGGCTTCTAATAGTAGAGGACTTAGTAGCTGTTAGGGCAGCGACAACAGAAATTATACGATTATAATTACAGCCAGAAAGGAAAATTGAAGGCCTATTATTGGTGTCGGAATTGAAAGGAATAGACGTACAATTTACAACGTCTATTCATTCGGATGGGATTCCGTGATGTATTGCACGAATAATGAATGACTGGCATGAATTAATACCATGCAGGTAGAACTTCGGGCACGGAATAACAACTACCATTGTACATTACTTGAGTCCTTTAACTCTGTTTTAATTAGTAAACAATTTAAAATAACGATATTTATCCAACTAAAAGATATGTAACGTATCCCTAATCAAACACTTAAACTTAGTCATAATTTAACTTGAACAACATGTATAAAACTTCAGAAGAATAAAAATTAAAAAACAAATTCAGTAAAAATGAAACAGTGCAATATTTGGTTTCGAAAAGGCTTAGTCGCATGGGTAATATATTAGTAGACTAGAACATATTAATTTTATACAATTTCAAAACATTCATATCTATCACACATCACTTTAATTGGCTCATCAAGCAACTGGAAGCAATGACGACTTATTGGCTTCCAGTCCCGACGAAGATTGGTCGGAAAATTTCACAATTAACCCAGTTGTGAAATATGCGTACATTGTGTTGCAACTTCACGTTCACGTGACGAAAAAATCAATGTAATACTTTTGTCGAGAAAAAATATCGTAAAATATTGAGCTATTTTCACGCAAAAGAAGCTACCGCAGATTTTTTCAACAGTTCATATCTTCAGGGCCATCATGTCCGCTCAACGTGCGGTATAGTGCTTTATATAATAAAATAATAGGTAATTTCATTTAATTTACTCCTTCAGAAGTGTCGGAAACCGTCCCGAACGAGTAAGAGTCTACGCGAAACAATCCGAAATTGAACACATAAATATTTCCTATAGATAACTTCTATACTAAGAATATCATATTTATCGCAGCTATTGATTCCAAGTGACAATAGGCTGGAAAATTTTATTAACGAGGGACACGAGCAGAAAAGATACGAACATACACGGAACAATGAAGCAATATTGGTGCAGTATAACTGCTGAGCCACCAAGGCTCTGCCAGGCGTAGGAGCGGATCCTGGCCACCAGGTCCAGAGGGGGAGCTGGCCAAAAGACGCTCACTGACGTCGCTCCAGACGAGAAAGGGAATTCTGCCAGACAACCGAAATATATCGCTACTAATATACTTGGAAAAGATCTTTATTAATCTTATATATACTAATCGAAGTTCGTGTTTGGCTTTGCATGTTTGAAGCCTGGCAACACAAATACATAGAGGCTGTTGGGGCGCGTACCTGATACTTATCGTGTCGGGATATTGTATATAGGGGCTGTTGGGAGGGCTGTTGGGGCGCGTATCCAGGATACTTATCGTGTCGGGACATTGCCAGGACCTAAAAATTTATTCTTAGTCGGAGAAAAGGAAAGGATTGAAACAAAAGTCGAACTAAGATCTTGCAATTGATTAATATAAATTTGATTTATCACACAAAATTGTTGTTCTCATATTTTGAAACAGTAATGACATGACAGTCCATTCTTCCATGTGTTAGAAGGGGTCATAATTTAATTAGAAAACATACGTTTCATTATTATTAACATGATTAGGGAAATTACAGATTTTGGGAAAACAGGTTAAAATATTATGCGTATCATCAAGCCCGGGCAAAGCCTGGTCATCCAGCTAGTATAATGTAAATTTCTGCAAGCAATTAATTCACTGAAAAATACTATCAGCATGAATCTATCGGAGTTACAAACCGCAATGCAATTTCACGGAGAAATCAAATACATATTCTGCTGCACCGCAAAGGAAGGGAATTAACAGAATCCCCATTTATTCAAGGAAGGTAAGCCATTCAAGTTCGACTCATAGGTAAGTGTGGAGTAATAAATTAAGAGGAAAATAGTTCAAGAATAATTAGTTCTGCAAGGCGAATATATCCAGACGTATTATAATGATCAGAGCAGTGACATGGAAAGCAGTTGCACTCACCAGCGTGGTGAGGGTAGGAGTTCTTTGGGACGTTGTCCTCATAGAAGTTGACCTCACGGATGAGATCAGGGACCTCGTGAGGGTCGTTGACCTCCACCTCGGACACGGAGACTCGGCCCTCAGAGGACCGTCCCTGGCCGGGCTGGTGGTCCTCCAGCGCCCCTGCCTTGCCCGACACCCCCACTGCAAGGAACCAGACCACGCACTCATAAAATTAATGGGTGCAACTCACGTCACGTCTGATGGGTCTAAATGGTGAGGCACGTAGCACTGATACGCCCGTTTGCCGATCCTAACTAAGTCAGGATGACTCACACGAGGGCATTAAGTGCATCGCTATTTGGACAAGGCCGCTCTTATTTCTGTGAGTGTCGTCAATATCGGATTCATATAACGTGACTAAAATACATTTAATGTACTAAGACCTTTTGTATATGGGATTCTTTTATAAATAATTTCACAAAACCTGCATGAGAAATGAGAGCAGCATTACTAATCATTAGACATGTTTACCTCTCGATCTACAAGACAATTGAGAAAAATATAATTCTTTAAACGTCGACAAATTAAATATAATTTTTCTTGGAAACCACTAATACATAGTCAAGCAGGTGGTATAATCATTGATAATACAAAGTATTATGCTCTTACCTATACGTAAGAAAATAGCAAAATATTTCAATCATCAGCGGTACCGAATTATCATTATATCATTACGATAGATGTTACCAGAATATGCATCGTCCCGCTGGTAGGACTCGTAACTAATCGTAACTAATTTAAACAATGATGACACAAATCACTAATGATATTCTATTATCGTTCAAACAAATTAATAAATACATATGATAGCTCACCTTCGTTATTTTCACCATCAAGTCTGATCTCGTGGCTTTTGGGTGGAGAGAAAATTTCTGAAAGGTAGAAGAACAGTATCAGTGTTGCATGTGAAGGACAGAATCAGTGTTGCATGTGAAGGACAGAATCAGTATTGTGTGTGAAGGACAGTATCAGTATTGCATGTGAAGGGGAGGAGGACAGTATCAGTATTGCATGTGACGTGATCACGCAAGTACTGAATTTAATGCAGTTTATCTACAAAATTTAAATGGAGTTTATACCTCAATGAATGTTATTTCAGAATAGCTACATAATTGATAAGTATTTCTTCGCGTAAAATAGTAATACGCTATTGAGGGATGGTAATAATTGTCACTGAAATAAACCTTACCATCAGAACATAGAACACGATCAAGATGATGGAGATAGCACATACCGTTGAGGCGAATATCTCCTTCAGTTTCGCCGAGGGAGTTCTTGGCGACGCATTTGTAGGTGCGGGAGTCGTCTTTGGTGAAGTTTAGTACCGTGAGTCGCATGTCCAGTTTGTATTTGTTTGTGATGGTCTCAGTCTTGTACTTGGCATCATTCATGACCATGACTTTGTCCCGGACCCAATAACTGATAACCTGTGAAAATTTTGTTTTAAAACATCAATTAACCTTTTGATTCAGCTAAAACAACCTTAAGATACTTTATTCTTATCGAGTAAAATTATTATTATTATTATTATACGAAACAGTTATCGTAGCGTCCGGTTCAAACGAACTTCGAGGGCACGTTACACACGACTTTAAAAGCAATCGAAAAAGAAATAGACACGAGAAAGGATGAGAACGGATAAAAATGACTTGATTCATAGGCTCTACGAAATAGTTTCTTCTATAGGCGTCGACGGAACACCTGCAACGACCGCCAGCAAGCCGTTCCAGGTTCTGGCGGCGATGACCGGCAACGCTTTGTCGCCGACGGTATATAGATAGATGTGTAGATGGAACGACGAGGTCCGCTGTTGATGACGAAAGCAGTCATCTTCTAGAATGCGCTGCAGACATTCCGTGAGATAAGGAGGCGTCAGACCGTATATAGGCATCGAAACGTCAGAACAGCGACCTTGAACTGAGTGCGCTGCATACATACGCAGCCAGTGAAGATCCTGCAATGTCGGCGTCACGTGGTCGAATTTGCGCTTATTGCACACGAGTCGAGAAGCAGCGTTCATTACGGATTGCAGTTTATAAAGCGCTGTGGTCGGAAGTCTATTGAGTGTGAAATTACCTTACCAAATAAAATTAGTTTTTGATGCATTGAGCTGAAACCGGTTGGAGCGCATTCAGTCTGAGACGGCGTCCATGCAGACAGACATCCGGGTCTGCAACGCTGCAGCGTCAGCTGATGCACAGTAGCCGTAAATTTGGTTGTTGTCAGCGAACATATGCGGATTCAAACTATGTGAATCAATTATACGCAACACGTCGACAGTATAAAATACGAGGAAGGATCTCGTAGGAGGAGGATAGGGCCGAGAACTGATCCCTGTGGTACGCCGCAAGTGACCAACGATAGCGTAGAAGAAGAGTTCCCGCGTCGAACGCATTGTAATCTATTGCTGAGATAAGACTAGAACCACAGCAGCACTGTTCCGCGTGGGCCGAATGATACGTCAAGTCGTCGCAATTAAGTGGCGTTTTCGAACACGTCAAACGCGCCCGATAGGTCGAGTAAAGCCACGGTCTACTGCTCGCAGAATGTCTGAAAGCACCTTCAGCACAGCGGTTTCCGTCGAGGTGAGATGACGGTATGCAGACTGGAGGCGAGGCACGAGCTCCCAGACTTCTGAAGATGGTTATGTTCAGCTTATGGGCCACAACGCGCTCCAGGAGTTTCGATCAAATCGACAAAATAAATACATAAAGTTTATCGGTGTTTCCTTTATCAATTTTCGTCAAATTATGCTGCAGTGCACGAGTACGATTAAAGGTTTGATCGCACCTGCTCCATTTCTTCTGAATGCATCTAAGAAGAATTGTGGAATTTTTCATTTGTCATCGGGTTCACTCAACGTTAAAAAAGAGCGGCTAGAAGTTAAAATGACAAAAATTAACCCCTGCCTGATAAATGGCATGGAAACTAATTTTTGGACGGAATGACTGTAACTGCAGGTGCGTAAACGATAAATTAAAATAAGAATTGGTTTTATGAGAGACGGCACCTGAGGGAAGGCCTCGACATGGCAGTCGATGGTGACGTTGTCGCCGGTCGGCACGCCCACAAGCTGGTTAGGCACGTGGATTTGTGGTGGAACTGCACGTAAATAAACTTATTATGAACAAATTATTTCATTTGTCTTCTTCCTTACATTACTGATTTCGTTCACAATTTTGTTATACAAAGCAGTCGGTGGCTTAATTCATCATTCCATTAAGTGCTTTTTTTGGATGCGCATTGCGTGCACACAATAAACATTAGTAAAGAATGTCATCACTAACACTGAATATAAGTAAAGGATGTCACCACTCACACTGGACCTCTAGTGTGATGCGCTTGCTAACAGAGGGCGGGACGCCGTTGGAGGCGATGCAGAGGTAGGCGCCCATGTGCGTGCGGCTCACACTCGACAGCTCCAGCACCTCGCCGTCCACCTGCGTCACTGCGCCGTCCACGGTACATAAGAATATTACATAACTTTATATTAAATAATAACTTAAATAAAACTGGCGTTGGTGACAGATAAATTCACCAAAACGCTGAGATATATAACATCAAACATAAACTATGGCTAGCGAGGTCACGTCGTTGCATTAATAAGGACTACAAGTCACCGGGGGTGCAATAAGGACTACAAGTCATCGGGGGTGCAATAAGGACCACAAGTCACCAGGGTTGCAATAAGGACTACAAGTCATCGGGGGTGCAATAAGGACCACAAGTCACCGGGGTTGCAATAAGGACCACAAGTCATCGGGGGTGCAATAAGGACCGCAAGTCACCGGGGCTGCAATAAGGACCACAAGTCACCGGGGTTGCAATAAGGACCACAAGTCACCGGGGTTGCAATAAGGACCACACGTCACCGGGGTTGCGGTCGTGGGGCGAGAGTGTGCCGCCGTCCTCGCGGCGCCACATGATGCGGGGGTCGGGGTGGCCGCTGCCCGTGCAGCGCAGTGTGATGTTGTCCTTCTCGCGCACCTTGATCAGCGAGTCGCTGCTGTTCGCGTCTACTATCGTCGGCGATACTGTGAAATATATACACGTTTTCGAGAACAAATAATTATAGAAGAGAAGAAACAATCATCCCTGAATATTGATGAAAATGCTTCGACAAAGTACAACTGTCAGACGTCAACTTCTGATCTGATGATCGAGAAGGTATTATTATTCACCGACCAAATGCATTTTCAATCGTAAATCCATTAGCAGCAAAAACAAAAACAACGATTTTGGTTAATTTAGGCCCAGTTCTTTTTCTTATATCTTTTTAAATACAGAATAAAAACATGGGGGTCTAGGGCCGTATTATCAAAAGATGTTTAAGTACACGTAGTGGCCGATTTCTGAATTGTGGTTGGGGGGAGACAAAGTTACAAACTCGTAAATATTTTGTGTCCTGACGAGCACAACTCCTGCACTGACGACGTACCTACGACGCGCAGGAAGCCCACTTGCGACAGAGCGGGCTTGGTGTTGACCTGACACATGTAGTAGCCTCGGTCCTCCTCACGCACATCTTTGATGTGCAGCGTCCACGTCTTGTTGTCCTCGTGCGTGACGCTGAAGCGCGAGATGCGCGTGATGAGGCGAGTGTGCACCGCCACGATCATCTGGCGCTTCAGGTGAATCCAGCCCACCTTACATCATAACAAAGTCTCTGGTACACTTGTGATAGTTTTCCTTTGCTTTCATTTTGCACATCATTTATTTATATTTTGCTAGCTTAACCACATAAATATTTTGCTAGCTTCACCGCAAAATAAATTGTCATTGAGACAAGATTTAATTGCCACGTGGTTGTAGAGCCTCTAACTTTGTGGTTACCTAGCCTTGTATGGTCACCAACCTTGTGGTTACTTAGCCTTGTATGGTTACCAACCTTGTGATTACCTAGCCTTGTGTGGTTACCAACCTTATGATTACCTAGCCTTGTATGGTTACCGACCTTGTGATTACCTAGCCTTGTATGGTTACCAACCTTGTGGTTACCAAGCCCCTCGACGGTACAGGAGAGCGATGCGTCGCGGCCTTTCGTGACGGTGACGTTGCGGATGTTGCTGCTGAAGCGCACTTCGCCAGCGCAAATGCCTGCAACACGCATCGGTCATGAGGCCAAGTAGCGGAATGCTCCGAAATTCTTACCCTGTAGAAATGCAATTTACGATTTTTGTCCTTTCATTTGAATCTCAAATAGCTCCAGCTTTTTTAGCATACAATTTAAATCAAGGAATTTTTGGTCAGAAAATTATAATAGAATTTTTAATTCATAAATTCTCCATCATTGTAAATATATATTAAAAACATAATCTTCATATAACACCGATGTGGCAATTGAATGAGTCAGAGTGCAACGTTGCCAGTGAGACGGCTCGAGAGCAAAACTTGAAATATACTGTTTGCAAAATCACCGTTAAACGGTATTACCAGCATTTAAGCGACAGGTCGGCACGTGAAAAGAAATACCGTGTGGCCGTTTTTATTTCACTTAAACACTAGAAACCTGTACATCTGACAAAAACGGCAAAACGGTTTATTTTTACGGGGCGGCCGGTCACTAGAATGCAGGCAAACCGTTTTTTCACGTTTTTTTTCAAACAATGTTCATCTAAAAGTTACAAGTTATTTATTCGACATCGCTATTTCGTATTATTTTATTTATTTGATAAATTTAATAAATTTTTGTTCCATATCAACACATTTTCGTAAATTTCTATGACTATGAATATTAAACGTGCTTGGACAAAAAAAAAAACTCCGTTTGAGTGCAGTGCGATTACAGGCCTAAATTATTAGAGCATGTTAGCGATGAGCTCATTAATCACAATACTGTTCATGGGCAGTAAGTAGTTATATTGAACAGAGTTGTATAGAAGACAGTTGTGTGAACATTACTGATGAATCCTATTTAAATAAAACATAGTTCCATTGCACGTTTCTCGAGAACCTGCAAGGTAAAACGAGCAATAAAAGTAGGTGTTATAGGCGTGATATCAATAATTCCACATTTTTCGACCAATACGAATCCCGGTTAGATGCTACAGCTCCTTGACCATACTTCCTAATGCAAGCTTTCCCAAATGCCACGCCATACTCGAACTTTTCTAACACTTCACGAACATCAGTTTGTTAAATGTAATTGTAGTGAAGTCGGCGAACGTGTTGCGTTGAAGAACTAAGCAAATGTCACCGCATTACTGCTGCAAGTCTGGCAAAGTCCAGCACGGCTAAGTCCAAACAGAGAATGAATTCGTCTATGGTTCAATTTAATTTATTTCAAAACTGTTGAATTGTAGATAAAAACTCTTTTTAAATTTATAATTTGGCGCTCTAAATAAATAAAATGCTTTATTAGTCATTTAGATAAGAACTTGATTTCCGAGAGTGAACGATACTTATTATAGAACACGATTTTCGAGTTCAGTCAGAAAACAAATATAAAAACCAGCAGAAAATTAAAGTTTTGAAATAGCTCTTAAACTGAAAAATAAAATGCTGATAAAACGTGCACAATATAAAGTTCATTTCACAGCTCCATCAAGAGCTTATAAGCCCCCAAGAACTTGAAGTCAAGTATTTTAGGCCTAAAAATATTTTTAAAATTCGTTGAAGATGGACCAGTTTTTGGCATACCGCCACGGCCATCGAGATCGAAAGATGCAGCCGGAAATCACCAACGGCAATGAAATATTGCAGTCAGAATATGGTCTTTTGCCATTGTGAGGACTCTAATGCTCGTAATATGTGCTCCGACAATGCCTACAGCATGCAAAAACAATAAATTACACATTGAAAACAACTGTAAAAATATCGCAACAGTATTGTAATCAGTATCGTAATCCTTACATTATATTAAAATTAATGACGGTGCTTGGATGGCGAGGCATCAAATTGAATGGAAATAAATAATTTCCATGCAGCCATAATGTATGTTTACGAATGGAATTTAATTTTTATAATTATATTTACTACATATTCTTGTGAGCAGTGATTAATAATCACCGATTTTGTCCCAAAATCATATTTCAATTTATATGTTTTAATAATATTAAATTAGATTGATAACGATGTTTCACAACCAAGTTTGCGGTTCTTAAATGATTGAAGATAACTTCAAGAATTTTGTAACGGCTGAAATATATATAGGAGTATTTCGCAGAATATTTTTAGTGAATGCTTGGCCAAGGGCACGCGTTTAGTGCTTGAGAATTGAACGTCGCAGCACGTAGCTGTTTGAAGCCCTGCAGGATGCATGTGTAGGCTAGAGCATCGCCAGATACGAAAAATCACTAACTTGGAACAGACAATATTAAAAGCAAGAAATTTCAGACCAAGTGCAATGAGAGCCTACACAGACATTCATGCATGTGCTTCCTAATGTGTTTTGTGTTCTTACATATTCACATATTCAAAATTTATGAAATTCCTCAACTAACATCATCAGTATTCAAATTAAAAAAAAATTTAAGCCATCCAGATTTGAAAATCAGGCACGTTTGTATTCATATTCAGTTCTGTAACTTAGAAATAATATAACACAGAACATAGGGCCAGTTCTTGCACCGCCTCCTGCATGAAGCGAAGCACTCATTGCAAACAGCGTCACGTTCCAAGGCAATCCTGGTGAGCAAAGTGGCAAGTCTAATCTGTGTGGGGAAGTTAGTTGAGATGTGCGTGTCATTAATATTAGTTAGAGCCAATGGTCCCCAGACTGCTGATAACTGCGTAGGAACATGATCACCTCACGTCCTGTTAATTAGACTCGTGCGTAGAGGCGGTGGCTGCAAGGAGTACGACAATATTGTCGCTTGCTCGGTCAACGCAAGACACCAACACTTCCTTGCTTATAACGCCATATATTGTCGTCAAAACTTAAATAACTGTTGTTTATGATATTCAAATAATAATCAAATTACTCTAACAAATAGTATGAAGTTTAATTTGTTTCAATCCTAGGTTTTCTTTATTCTTCTCCAGATGATAAATGCTTTAATCGAAATGTGATTATTTGCAGTCATTCAACCAGGAAAAATGAAACAAATGAGCAGAGTCAAGGAAGATACCAAGACCAAAAATGTAAAAAATAAAAACAAGCAACTTGAACAAAAAATTCAGGGAACTCTCGAAATACATTACATGCAAAGGGAAATATTCATGTCCAAGAGCTCTATGGGAATTGTCATGTGAGGAACTTCGATCAGTAAGAATGACATTGGCAGGACCGTAATAATTACGTAGCAATGAAGCTGTCTTTTCACTGTACTCATTCACAAGAATGTTCTATTGCATCCAAAAAAAGGCAGCGCATTCACAAAACACATTCACAGGAGTGTAGGTGAAAGCGATCACACGCAGCGCGTTCACTTAGTAGCACATTCACGTACGGGAGTGTTTTGTAGCCCAGTCACATGAGTTTAGGTGGACGCGATCACCCGCAGCGCGTTCGGAACGTAAATGTGAGCAAGGGGCGGTAAGCGCCGGGCGCTCAAATGTCGAGTTTACTGCAGGATTCGCCAGCCGCCGAATTCCTTATTCGATGGAACGAGCCTCGCTCGGACGCCAGGGCGCGCCTCTGCATATACGAAAATTCTCTCCGAAAAAATGATGAAATTTTTTCGAGGATTATACGATATCGAAGATGCGCCGCAAAATACAGAAAAATTCTCTTCAAAAAAGTAATGAAAATTATCCGAGGGTTAGATGATATCAAAGATGTCCGACTAAAATACGTTCAAGAATGATAAAATATACGAGTTACGGTATGGAATATTAAAGAACATAAAACACAGTAGGAAGCAAAATAATGTCTGTGGTGGATTTTATTGTACTTGGTTCGACTTATGCCGAGGTTTGGTTATGCGCATCAAGCCGAGGGTGAGGCGAAAAATCATCGAAGCAAACTGCATTTAAATATTATTCCTACTGAATTGTGATGAAACAATTATTAATTATGATTAAATTAGTATATCATTTGCAACTTCCAGATACAGCCCCAGAAAAAACTGTAGCAGAAGGTTTTTGTATTCAATTAAAAATACATTAAGTAAATATTTCTATACTAACTAATATCATACGAGATACCCATTGCATTTATTAGCATCAACTCTTCAAGTGTGAAAGGGAGGTACTGAAGATGAGCTTAAACAGTGTATTGCAATACGGCAAGTCTGGTAAGTAAATCCGACGGTGGAAGCTGAAGGGGGCAGCACGAGAGGGGGGCAGCACGAGAGGGATGCAGCACGAGAGGGGGGCAGCACGAGAGGGGGGCAGCACGCAATTAAGTAGCAAGATTGCAAGCTGCCATGTATTAAGTTAGTAGAGGTGTCAAGAAGTGTGATCTCAAGATATCATTTAGTAAATTAATAAATTTTCAAATAGTAAGATTGCAAGCAGCCAAGTAGTACAATTTCAAGCTGTCAAGCGGTAAGACTGCAAATAATCAAGTCGAAACATTGTAGGCTCTTAAGTACTAAGCTCGCAAGCTGTCCGACACATTTGCTCGTGACCAACATTACAACAAAATATTAAAAAATTAGAAGATTTTCACAAGGTAACTAGAATGGAGGCAGAGTCGTGGCAGGGTTCGGTCAATAGCTGATGTCAAGTGGCTGAGTAATCGAGCATTGGGCTGCTGGCACGAGCAGGCGTTGAGACGTCGTGCCTGTGGGTGAGAAGAATGACCTTACACTGTAATATGCCTCAGCCTCGTCCATCACAAGCAACGCAGCACTGCACCCAGACCGAACCTGCAGTTCATGTAGCGTGCAGTTCATGTAGCGTGCAGTTCATGTAGCCTGCAGTTCATGTAGCGTGCAGTTCATGTAGCCTGCAGTTCATGTAGCGTGCAGTTCATGTAGCCTGCAGTTCATGTAGCCTGCAGTTCATGTAGCCTGCAGTTCATGTAGCCTGCAGTTCATGTGGCCTGCAATTCATGTGGCCTGCAGTTCATGTAGTCTGCAGTTCATTTAGTCTGCATATCTTGCGGTCTACAATTCTTGTAGTCTACAGTTCAAGTGGATATGGTAAAAGTAGGACCTATTACGAAAGTTTTGTTTACATTTTAAGTGTACGAGGGAAAGTCTAGATTGTTCGGGTGCATAATTG